GCAAAGGATGTGAATTTTTTATTGTCAGTATTTTCACCCCCTTGGAAAAACCTCGTGTCAATGATTTGGTGTTAAAATGACCAAAGCTGACTGGTTTTTTGATCTATGTTAAATTGGGATGTTCTTTTTTTATTTAGTTATTTTTTGTATGGCGAAATTGGTATAAAAAATCGATATATGTTCATTTCACAATTTAATGAAATTTAAACTGGCTTTTTTTTGGTTTGGTTATTTCATCCTGGTCTACCCTATACTCGTCGGTTTTGGTCTGTCATGTTATACACACAAAACAATGTAGGCGAACCAAAAACCTAAACAGGCCAAACACTTCACACCGCAGACCTCAACGAAACAAATTTTTCTATGATTATCATGCTTGTCAGAAATTCTAGTCTTTTTTTTGTACGATTTGTCTACAAAGCTACCACAGTACTGGCCAAAACAGGGAGAAAAAGCGGGCCAGGAAGAGCCAAACACAATCCTCACCCCTCTGAAAAAATTGTATAATTAAAAAAAGATTAGATTATCGATCTTGTTAATATGGGGAGAGGGTGATGAACAACAGGTTGACATCCAATGAAAAAGTTGTGGCCTGGCTTAATGTCCTAAATTCATAAACGATAAAAATAATTCTTTTAATTGGTTTCCCACTCTATCGATCTTTCTTACATTTCTCTTGTCTGAAACATTTAATTGAAAATTCATATTCAACATAAATTTTTAAAAACCACCCTCATTTTGATGTAGTACTGTGTGCAATAAATAAAAAATGAGACAAAATTATTGATTTATGTGTATTGAGAGTTTAATTGAGAGAATTAAATAATACATTTTTAGAAATTAGTCTTAGTTCTGATGATGGTGATGTAATCGTCGAAAGCAACAGCATTTGAACGGTTTGCTTTTGTCAAGCCATCCTTTCTTCTTTTTACCTGTTATAATATCGATCGATCCGACAAAAAGAACAGAATCGAATTCAAGATTATGCAATAATAAATATAGAAATAAATAATTCACGTAAAAAAGTCAAAGATAAAGAAACGATTGGGCATCTTCGAAGATAAAGCTATCGGATTAGTCATATTTCCTTCGCTTCTCGGAAAAACATGGAATCATGATTATATAGCCTAACCCGCCCCTAACCTTAAACCTCAAACAACCCTAAAAACAACTAAACTACTAACCCTAACCCTAAAATTGAACACTAACATTGAATCATGGATATGAAACCAACACGTCCGTAATCTTAGGCTAACCTAAGCCTAATTCTTACACTAACTCTATCTAATCTTAATACGTTCTCTAATGATCGCTCTAACGTGGAAAAATCAAAAGAATATGCTCAAAATAAAAAATCTGAATAAATGAGCAACAGACAGACATTGAAGTGTGAACCGGAACACTGCTCACTGTTCTATTATTAAGCTCTGCTCAGTTTGAAGCGCCCGTCCATCTTAAAGGACCGTAGAAGCCACGCGGCAATGGCTGAACAGATAAAGGATGGTTAGGTACTACGTAGGACTAGGAAATGGCAAATAAAGATTGGTGGTCATGGATTAAAACTCAACTGGGAAAGTCGGATGAATTGGAAGTGTCAGTCGCAACGATGACCTCACCTCAGATCTAAGATTCCTTCTTGCGGCAGTGGAAATGGTCCAAAACGGAGACTAGTAAAAAAGGAATACTTTCTTCCCAAATATAGCATCAATATTTTAAAAAAAGTGGAAAAGCTTAAAAAAACCACAGTGGAACCCCACTCATGGATGCTTCGGACATACCTTTGGCCTATTATCTGGCATGTCCTTGTTAGTTGAAGTCTCATACATGCCATGTTATTTATTCGCGTCTAATATTCGAAGGTGGTAGGGCAAGTTTAATACGACTCGTGATACTGAGAGGCGACAATTGGACTCGGCTCTGTTAGTTGAGTTCATTGAAGATGTGGATATAAATGAACTTAAAAAATAAAACTTTAGTCAGGGGAAAACCCTAACCTAACCCTCGAAGGATTTCCCTTAACATGAAACCGGTGACGTGAAAATGTTCAGGTAAAAAAATTGTGTATCCTGCCCAAAAAGAGCCGTACATAATTAATTGCTTTATTTTATTTCCTCAGTTGTTTCTCTAGTTTAGATTTTCTGAAAATGTCAAAGAAAATAAGCTCGTAAAATATAAACAATCCGTAATTATGGCGTAATTACGCTCCTAGCTGTTAACTGCTGACCCCTAGATTAACAAAATTTGAAAACGACGAGAACAGGCGGGCCATGGAGTAGTTGGATGAAACATGTTACTTAAATTACAAGATTAAATTTATTTTCCTACTTTTTAACGATTTTCTTTAAACGACTTTTTCTACAGAAATCGTTTGTTTGGTTTGAGTGTGTTTTATTTAATCTGGCCCGTCTTATCTGACAGTATATTTAAGGTGATTTTGATCTACAAAAGTTACGGTATAATTTTTAATTAGATCGTGTCCGAAGAGTCAATATTTTTTAATGGCCAATTAAGTATGCGTTTATAAACAGTTATCTTAAGGTCAAATCAATATTGTTTTAGATATTAAACTTGGGGGTTGACGAACTTGAAAGAATAGGGGGAATAGTCGTTTTAAAAATCGAGTTATTTTAAAATAATTGTTCGATTTGAAATATTGTTTTGGAAGCTTATCAGAAACAAATGATCATTGATAATCGGAAATCGATAGTTGATTATAATTTCGTCGTGTTTTCGTAAATGAACCGTAGAGATTTTAACGCGTTCGGCGTTAAACAAAGGACCGTGTAACACGCACCCTTTCAAAATTCGAATGGGGTTGGTATCATCGACGTGTTTCCCTTGACGTGCAGACCAAGATAACGGCAAACAATAAATCCAACTTTGACAAGACGTCACTCCAAAATTGTGGACGAGTGAAAACCATGCGATTTGCACTGTAGGGTCACTTTTTGTCCGTCTGTTTAAAATGGCCGACAAATGTTTCACGATACAAATGTATACTTGCTTACTTAAATTAAAATATAACTTACTATATTCCTTCAAAAATTATTTGATCATTTCAAGATTTCAAGTCAAAAGAGGATCGCAATTAAAAGTGAATTAATAAAATTATAACTGCTGTCAGCAGAATTTTTATTTTTAATGCACATGACAATACATTTTTATTTTTCCAACCCCATTTTAATTATTACATATTTTTTATAACCAGCAATTTAATTGCCTCTAATATTTATGGCTCATACGAGTTTTGGCCAATGCTGACTATCCTTGCCATAAGGTCATAGTTATTTTTTTTTAATTATACAAGCTTCAGAACCATAGGGATAGGGATAAAAGAAGTGGCCACAAGGCCTACTGCATCCCAACACGAATAGATCTATTGTGCTCCCCTGTTATTTATAACCCACTGGGCAGCTTCAGGTTATTAACCAGCTTCCCAGCGGCTCTGTAGGATCCTGCTTGTGGTTTTTCTCGTCTTAGTTGCAAGAACCTGCACCTACATAGACCTTCACAGAAACATAAAATGTGTTCTGCAGTCTCCTCCTCTTCCTGGCAGTAGCTGCAGTGTTTCTTCTGTCAGTATTCCTATCCAGTTCATGTGCTTTCTTTAGTGGCAGTGCCCTGTCAGGAGTCCAACCGGAATCCTGGTTCAGTTGCAGTTGCCTTCCAGCAATTCTTTCGTAAGTTTTGCAGATGGTCCTTCTATGAATATCTTCGCGTGCCTCATACCTGTGGTATTTTTCCACCAGGTTTTGGACTCATTAAGGATCCATTTTAAGATGTATCCTATTTTGTGGCTGGCTGCTAAGTGGCAATAGGGTTCTGGGCCCAGGGAGTCCATATTGGCTCCCTTGTTGGCCAACATGTCAACCTTTTCATTGCCTATATGCCCCGAATGTCCAGGGACCCATGCCAAGGTTAGTTCATTAGTGTCACTGACTTCCGTCTGGGCCTCCATGCAGTTCCAAACCAGAACCATGAACCAATACAAATAATACCAATAGTAATAAAAGATCTACCAAACTCGTACTTAAGATCATATAGGTTACATTTTAAAATTATGGCACAGTGTAGATTCGACTTCTTACAGAAAAAATGAATAAAAAAAAAACAAAAAAAAAACAACGAGCTACTACAAGGAATAGCAGACATCTCAAGACACACATATGAAATGAATTTTAAATATGAGGGATTATCATGGTTTCTGCAAGGGGTGATGAATCTATAGTTTGGTCATTTCTCGTCATTTTCATATACCTAACATGACTACTTCAATCTGTTAGATCCATTCTGCTTCTCAACGTCTTCAGTGCTGTTCTGGTCACCTAACTTATACAAGGAATAGCAGAGAGCTCAAGTCAAATTTTAAATATTTTGGGATTTCATGAAGGGCTCTGCAGGGCGATGAACTGTAGTATGATTGTTTTTTATCATTTTGGTCTGCCTATTCTCTTTCTGATTCTGCTAGACGGATTTCTGCTTCTTGCCATCTTCGGTACTGGGCCTAGTAAACCAACTTACAGCAGAAATATTTTGGGCTTTTATGAGGGGCTCTGCAGAGTGGTGAACTTGTAGTCCGGTTGTTTGAGATTCTTTGAGATGGACTTCTGCCTGCCATCTTCAGTGCTGTCTGGCTAACCAACTTACACAGGAAATAGCAGGCATCTCAAGGCAGATACACGGATTGATTTTGAATATTTTGGGCTTTCATGAGAGGCTCTGCAGAGTGGTGAACTTGTAGTTCGGTTGTTTGAGATTCTTTGAGATGGACTTCTGCCCGCCATCTTCAGTGCTGTGTCTAGCTAACCAACTTACACAGGAAATATTCACTGTATTTGAATTTAAATATAATATCAATAGTTTCTTATAATGAAATGAACGTTAATCTGAGAAACCTTCTGGTTAATTTTGAAGACTGATTCTTGCAGTTTTCAACATCAGTGTTTTTATATGTAATAAAGGCCAAATGATTTATTATTTAAACAAAAATATTGTTTCAGCATCAGAACCTGAACCAACTGGCTTAGTGGAGATCATTGCAACAGTAGGTGCAATTATTCTGATGGTCTTAACTTTCCCTATTTCCGTGTTTTTAATATTCAAGGTAATATTTAAACAATATATATATATTTTAATGTAAATAATTTTCTTATTGGTGAATTGAATTCCAGGTTGTCCAAGAATATGAGAGGGCGGTAATATTTAGGCTCGGGAGGTTGAGAAGTGGCGGCGCAAGAGGCCCTGGAATTTTCTTTGTACTGCCATGTATTGATGTTTATGCCAAAGTCGACCTGAGAACAGTTTCATTCGATGTCCCACCGCAAGAGGTATTATAATAATTATGTCTAAAAATTCACAATGACCTTCAATTATTTCTTTTGCCAAAACACCAATGTTCAGTGTTTAATTATTAAGTTTAAAAAAAAAAATTGTAGCAGAGGGTGCATTTTCCTTTTATGTAATTACCTTGGACTGATGAGAGTCCATCACAAAATCTTGATTTGTGTAGATACTGTCGCGAGACTCTGTCACAGTACACGTTGATGCTGTCGTCTTCTACCGTGTCAACAGTCCTACAATGGCAACAAACAATGTTGAAAATTACAGGTGAATTTAAATAAAAGACGGACAAAAGAACAACTGGAGAGCACATATGTGTAGCATAGTAGTTTCATTTCATTCCATTTCTTTTTCCATATAGATTTGAGCTTGTTGATGTGCTTTTTTGTTATTGGGCGAGAAAATTGAAAAGCGCCTTTTTCAATTATTTTTTTTTAATGTATTGTTTTATTTTAGAGGGATCTTCGATACCATAGTAAAATTCGCCTGTTGTAGGTAGTTTTCATTAAAGTTATAGTTGTACAATGTTAGCAGATTGGAATAAAACAAAACAAAAACAATGCTAACAAGAATTATTGCCAAATATTTCTTTCTAAATAAAAGTATACATAGTTGAAATTATTTCATAGTTGTATTTGTTGATTAAAGCTAACTTACAAAAAATGTCCAGTTTACGTAAATTGTAAAACAAATTCAACTTGATTGACATGATTTTGCCAAATTGCACAAACCAGCACAAAATTACAGTTCTATTAATAAAAGTTGAATTAATTTGGAACAAACACAGCTGTATTATTTAATATTTTAATTAAAGGATGTATATTTTGTTTGTCGGTGTACAAGTTGTTGATTATCAAAAGTAGGCTCGGTGAAGTCTGTCAGTGTTCAAAAGTACATGTACTTGGTCTAGTTATCTATCACAATTACTTCTTGGCACTGCTTGCACCTCAATGAAATGTTAGTTATCAAGTTATTATTTTATTATGTTATTTATATGACAATTATCCAAATGAAAAATAATTTCTTTTAGAGATTATTTAAATTTGGCAATATTTCTTTTAACATGAAGCATTGTTTTATAGAAACAATCAACCAGAAAAAAATTACCGCACCTCACCAGCTACAAATATAAACTTGAAATTTGACAATAGTTATCAATTAAATTTTTTTTAATAAAAGTTACTGCATGTTCAGTGTTGTTGTATTGTCAGGTTCTTACAAAGGATTCTTGCACTGTTTGTGTTGATGCCGTTGTTTACTATCGCATCGAAGATCCGCTGAGCGCTGTTGTACAAATTGCCAATTACAGGTAATTTTCCTTGAAAAACAAAATTACAAAAGCAAAAAAGTCAAAACAATTCTTTCCCAATGGTTGGCTTTGAGTTTTTAAATTTGCATGAGCTTTAATTTATTTTAGTTTTTTTCCCTTTACTATTTATTAAAGGATTTTTATCGCAATAATTATTTCTGTTTTCTACTGAATACAGCCATTCAACGCGTCTTTTGGCCGCGACCACCCTGAGGAATGTACTGGGCACAAGGAATCTTGCTGAAATCCTTTCAGAACGTGAAGTAATATCGCACACGATGCAGAATTCTTTGGATGTTGCTACAGAGCCATGGGGAGTGAAAGTGGAACGAGTTGAAATGTATGTTAACAAAAAACATTTAGCATTTTTCACAGTTGAGATGAAAATAAATTTTAAACAAAAGGCAAAATAAATACAACTATCAGGGATTTTTTTTTAGTTATTGAATCAAAAGTGCTCATAATTCATGATAAAGTAAAAATTTAGTGGCCGAGTAGTTAAGCATCTGGGTCATATTTACTACATGCTCGTGGTTTTTTAATTGAAAATAATATGAAAAATGTATTGTAAAGTGGTTTGGCCCTCGTATGTGATACCCTATTGCTAGTTGGACATTAAGGCCGTCTATTTGACAGGAATATTTTTTATAAAAATAAAAAAAAACTTATTGTGGCATGACCTGTCATATTCTGACCATGGAAAATTGTTTTAATAAAAAAAAGTGGCCATGAATTTTTTATGATGAATGCTGAACACGATCTCCTGAAAGCAAGAATTTATTAATATCTCAATCTTTTTTATCAACCCTATGTTATTTTATGTAATTAATATAAAAACGCGTTAAATATTTTAGCAAGGATGTTCGTCTCCCGGTACAAATGCAAAGGGCAATGGCTGCAGAAGCTGAAGCCACGAGAGAGGCCAGGGCTAAGGTGATCGCTGCTGAAGGTGAAATGAGGGCATCACGATCGTTGAAAGAAGCAGCTGATGTTATCGCAGAAAGCCCAGCTGCTCTCCAGGTAACAATTTTTACTTCTTTGAACTTTACATTTTTTTTTTTTCATCCGACAAATTTTCAGCTTCGTTACTTGCAAACTCTCAACACGATATCGGCCGAAAAAAATTCAACCATTATTTTCCCTCTGCCCATGGATCTCTTAGCGCCGTTCTTGCCCGGAGTGAACAAATAGAACGAAGAGCGTGCCCTCGATTTGCAGGGTAAAGAGGTTTTTAAGAAGTTTTTCCTCACATACGCTTCTATCATTGCTTCGGTTGCTGATATTTTTCGAGTTCACCATCCTCATGGCAGGGATTGCATATGTGGCCATGTTCACTAATTATTTATCAAAGTTTTATTATATTAAGTATATATTTTATATAAGTTATATTGTATATTAAGTTGATATTTTTAATTAAGATAAATTAAAAGAGAATTTTATTTATATTTAAATTTATAATATACTTATTTTTGAATTATGTTATTGTTAGATGACTTATAGGCCTAACAGATTATGATATTCTCTGTGCTTATTGTTTTATTAAATGTTTTTATTTAGTGTTCAATGTTTAAACACTCAAGAATTTTAGATTAAGATGTTGTATTATCCTAATTAGATTAAATGTATGATAAAAAAAATTTAAAGAAAAACGTTCATCGATGTTTTTTTTTATTTTGTTTTGAGTTGTGTAGATTATATTAGTGTTTAAGAGGAAAATGAATTTATCGAGTCTATTTAAACTTATCTTAATAAGGATACATACCACTTGGAAGAAATAACTTTAAGAAAAATTTGTCTCAACAGTTTCATCTTTTTAATATACGTAGTGTTTTTTCACATGGGATATTAAAAAAATATGTATATGTAGATTAAGAATTAGGTTTATTGTAATAATCTTGTTAAATGTGGAAACTTCTTGTTAAAAACGAAATTTAAAGTAAATCAATGCAAAATAACAATTTAACTTTGAAAGCATTGATGTACTGATCACTTGTTTGGTTTAATATCTATGCACTCTAGAGAAATAATAATTACAAAATTCATTGAAGAAGTAATGAAGGTTTAACATTGCATTTCAGTGTGGAATGCGACAAGTGACAAGCTGATTCTATAATCTTCTCAGGCAGTATTTAATTAAGCCGCACCTAATAATAAATTAACTCCTGTGAAATAACTTCTATTAGGGGAAAACATTTTTTCCATATTTTGTACACACACTATGTGTTATATTTAAGAAAAAGAGAAAAACAATAGAAAGTCAAGTTATAAAATATAATACTTTAATATAATAATACTGAAAAGAACTATAAACTATAAGGGACCATATAAACATTATACATTAAAATTTAAACTAACTTACGATTTTTTAGCAGCAGATTTATATAATTATTCTTCAATATTTTGCAATGTATTGAGATATTTAAACAATTTTCTCATTCTTTGTAAAGGTATTATTTTTTATTGTCAAGATCGATCAATAGTGGTCTCACATTTTCTCAATTTATCTACTGGTGCGTAATTGTTTTGTGTACAATATATTCTTATAAAAAAAACTGTTTTTTTTTTTCTTCTTACATTTTTACTCCAATGTTTTTCATCATTGCAAACATGGCCTTTATTAAATTCTTAAACAGCTTTTTTAGATCTCAGTATTTTTTTTTTCTTTGTGTTTATGCTGGCATATTAGCCATGAAGTTTTTTATTTTAATTTTACTGTCAAGCGGGGTCGTGGGCACAGTCTCCTGGCGAAAAACCCCGCCCTCGCCCACATCCCCCTGCTGGGGCAGGAGAGGAGGAAGACCCATACGGTTTTTCGCTTTCGTCTATTTGTTCAGTGTCCTCCTTGGAGGATGTGGATAAAAACCAATAACATCGAGTTAATTTTGGAAAAGTCCACGTCCTGAGGAAACTGGGGCTAACAAGCCCTGTCTCCCACCTGTCCACCCCAACGGGATCGGCCGACCAGGACCAGGCCCCCACCGCACGCCCGCACCCACTCACTCAGCTCAATCATCTTCTAAATTTTAATGGTTGAAGATAATCAAAAAGTAACATTTATCGACTTTAGAAATCTATAGGTTATGTTGAAAGCTGGATTGTTGCTTATTACAACAGATTCTAAGTTTATTGGTTTGGGAACATTTGGGACTTTGCACAGATTTTTTAGCAGTTTATCTCTTTCATTTTCGTATTCTGGGCATTCGAAAATTATGTGGGAAGGATTTGAAGGGCAGTTGCAAGTGGGACAGTTCGGAGACGATGCCAAACCGATTCTCTTTTTGTAGCTACCCCATAGGCCATGATTTGTCTTCAGTCTAAAAGTAGTCTCAGTATTTGCTTTGGCTTCACATGAGCTGGAGAGTCTCGGCAAAACATTTGTTGTTGTCTAGGTACCTGGACAAGGTTTGGAGGGTAGCGAAAAGATGAACGAGGTGGCTAAGGCCGGGACGTCCCAACGTCCAGACTCAACCATCACAATTCAGCCCTCTTCAATCAAAATTCAAATTCAATTAAAAAATATATAAAAAAAACATGGTTAAAAGAAAGTGGCAGCATTGATGGGCAGAGAGATCAAGAGGTCCTCAGAGGACCTGACTCAGAAGGGCCATCCTCACACAATTAAGAATAGGCCATGTGAGGTTGACACATGAACATTCATTTTTATTTCTGGGCCAAAGAACACGTATGTGTCTGGCATGGAGAAAAATGCTGCTTGTTATGTCCCACCTAATTGATTGTTGCTATTTCCTAGCAAGATGTACGCGAGAATGCCATCCAATATGAGAATTGAGTTTGAGCATGGTGTATTGGACCCCTTGAAAAATAATATGACTCTGTAGCCTTCAAAACTCAAAAAAATTCCTCTTTCTTTCAGGTTATTGGAAAAAAATATCTTGACGTCTTTGCAATGCAGTGACTATGGGATGTAATGCTGCCTTAATGCAATTTTTTACATTAGTATTTAGTGTTTTTTTTTGCTATTCAATTGTTATATTCATTCTACAAAAAATCCACAGCTGTTTTGATGTATAATATTCAGATATCTTCTCTAGGAAAACTGAAATTTGCTTCCATTTGAAAAACGTTTCTCGAATAATAATTTTACAAACAATTATATCTCTACGAATGACTTACAATTATTGCATTTTCTCAGAATCATATTAACAGCATTTTTAGACCTTTATAATAAAAAAAGAAATATTTTTATAACAATTCTGGAAGTTATCTACAGCACAAAGCCAAATATCAAAGCATACAGGATAAATATTTAGATAACAATTATAAGTATAAAATCAATTTTGTTTATTAAGATATTTAATTGTAAAAAAAATAAACAAAAGATTGTTGTTAAACAAAAGATTGCTGTATCATTTTAATTAAATTTGTAAAGAGTGGAAGGTTCGTAAGATGGTGGCAAAATCATTTTTTTCCTTTTAACAATGGTTCTAATAAATGAACCGGGAAAACTACATTCTATGCAATTGAGGACTGCAGAGGACAAAGTGGAAAAGAAAAAAATACTAGGACGTATGTTATTTTGTTTAATGTAATATACTTGAAGAGCCATTGGGTCATTCTCAAGTTCTTGCGAATGCTCTATCAGTTTTTGTGCTGCAAGTATTTCACCTTCTGCAACGATGAATTTGGCTTTTGCTTCTCTCAGCGTCAGTTGTTTTGTCCAAAAATTCTTTCATTGCCTATGCTATTGATTCCCAATGTGATTATCTGATGATTTCTGCCCAAGGACAGTACGTAAAGTCGATGCAGCTAACTGATGCGTGGCCTCAGTGTTCAAAATTGTTTAAACATTTTTTATAATTATATTATAATGACTTTAACCTATGATAACTGCAATTGAAAACAAGAAGTGTGGCTGGAAGAGGATGTTCATTATGGTAAATAACAACAGCACCAACTGATACACAAAACGAATCTCTAGTTATGGCCTAAAGTGAATTTGATGATGTGATCATAGAACATAAATTAAATGATGAACTGTACCTCCTGTCCAAGTATATTCATTGATACAGTACGTAGATCAACTATTTCTACACTATCTATGCAAGGCGTGACAAAAAAATAATCCACATCCTATTGCACTTCCTTCTTTCATCTTCCCTAATCTGAATATTATCGCTCTCTCACACTGCTACTACCTTTAAGTAATTTAAAATTATTCTTTTACCGAAAAAAGAAAATATATCTACCTGAAATACACATAAGATTGCCAAAGGAAATGTTAAAATGACAAAGATGAAGACAACACAAGCTTAGGATTTGGACTCTTTATTTGATTCTAAACTATTACCATTGCTAATTCAAATAGAATGAATTCACAACAATAGTGAAATTACCATGAAATATCAGTCGTGTAAATCTACACTGTGATACATATTTTTGTTTTCAACGATGAAGCATTAAAACAACAATACAAGCAGTAGTAAGAATGAAGAACAGTTGGACATGACAAATGAACTTCACTGAAAAAAACAGTTTAATCTTTTACCTGTAAATTCGAAATAACTGAAAATTAAACTCAATTGGAACTATTATTGTTTTTTTTTTGTTTTTTTTTTTCAGTATGATTATTTATCCAGGGTGAATATGTGTAATTCTTTAATTGGTCTATTACCTAGAAAATTTGTAGAAATGCACTCTTTTTATTGGTCCATTTATATTTTAGTGGTCACTTGACCAAGTTACTTCTTTCAATTAATTATACTTTCTATGTAAGGTCTTGGTTGAGATAAAAGTCAGTGTCACGAACGGGATTCGAACCCACGATCTTCGGCTAGATACACCGCTGCTCTACCTTGAGCTATTGTGACTTCGATCCTCTCGGACACCAACTCTATCTCAACCAACAACCGTTCGAATTTTCCCTCTTTTTGCCATTTTCAAATGTCGTATAATCAAGATTGGATTCTCAGCAACTATTGAAATGGCCACAGGGAGCTGTTTAGTGAAGTGATACTTCATTTACTTATTAAATATCCGTTTACGTTTTAGAGATCAATTGACCAAGTTACTTCTTTCAATTAATTAATCTGTATGTAAGGTATTGGTCGAGATAAAAAAGTCAGTGACACGAGCGGGATTCGAACCCTTGACCTTCAGCTAAATCTGCCGCTACTCTACCACTTGAACTATTGTGACTTCAATTCTCTTGCACCTCTTTTTATTAGAACAAATGAAATGCCATATTACATATATTAACAATAAACAGAGATTTAGTCTTGTTTATTATTTTACCTCTTGTTTTTGTGTTGTGTCTAATTTTAGAAAATTATCTAATCTAGCCAAAATTCCTAGTGTAGGTTTTTTTTTATTAATTGGTAAGTACACCCAAGTACAACTACTAAAATGGAGGTTCAGCCCAAATCTGGTCTTATTTTTTTCTGTTTTATTACAGTTTGTTTTTGAATAAAGTTTTGCATAATGCTCTCTAAGAAAGCATTTTTTGGCTCATTAGATGATCAAGTTTTTCACAAGCATGGAGAGTAATAATGATAATGCTATGAATTTAGAAATAGTTCCACGAGTAGTATTTTTTAAAATAGTTATTTAAATATAAGATGAGAGAAAATATTTCTTAGATGATTTCATTTGAATTAATGGTGGGTTTTGTACGTTGAAAGCCAGTTTCAGTAATTATACATTTAATATTCAATACAATCAGTAAATTCAATGTTAAAAATGTTAATAAACAAAAACATTTATTTTTCCAGCTATTATTTTTTTTCTTTGTCTCATCCACCACCCTGCCATACCTTAGGGAGATCATATACAGGTGGATTGCACCAAACTAAAAACTTAGGGTGTGAAACAGAAAAGGGGAAATGTTTGAGCTTACAAAGGTTAGGCTCAAGGAAGTTATGGGGATTTATTTTCCTTGATCTTAAGCTACCCGGTAAGCTGGAGTTTGAGGTAGTTACTGGTATAGGATAATTTAGAAAAAATGAGATGTCTGGTTCATCTGGGGATATAAAAAGTTAAGTAAGTGAAGGAGATGGAGCAGCAGCAGCATATTGAATTGTGGAGTAATTTGTACATGAGTACGTCACTATTGAATCACCTGGAAGAGAGAGTTTGAAGTCTTTTAATCAGAAGAAGTAATCCATAACGTGTGTTTCCATATACACAAAACTTTTTTTGAACTGCCTTGGGTGCATTTATGTAAGTAGTGAGATATGGGCACCATACAATATTTGACTCACCATACTCTTATACAAAACTATTATTTTAACTATTTATTATTAACTTTTTTTTTGGGGGGGGGGGTACGCTGGCATATTACCCATGAAGTTTTCTATTTTCATTTTACTGTCGAGCGGGATCGGCCGACCAGGACCAGGTCCCCACCGCACGCCCGCCCCCACTCATTCAGCTCCATCATCTTCTCATCTTCTAAATTTTCATGGTTGAAGATAATCAAAAAGAAACGTTTATCGACTTTAGAAATCCATAGATTATGTTGAAAGCTGATGGATTGTTGCTTACTAGGACAGATTCTAAATTTATTGGTTTGGAAATATTTGGGACTTTGCTCAGATTTTTTAGCAGTTTGTCTCTTTCATTTTTGTATTCTGGACATTCAAAAATTATGAGGGAAGGATTTGAAGGGCAATCGCAAGTGGGGCAGTTCAGACCAATTCTCTTCTTGTAGCTACCCTATATGCCATGATTTGTCTTCAGTCTAAAAATAGTAGAATAGAACTCCTTTGACATTCCTTCTGGGTTATCGCCTTCTGAAAACCATGGTTTTTTCTTGAGCGAAAAAAAAAATGTGGCTGTTGAAACTCAGATCTTAACTAAAAAGAATACCAAGAAGTTTGATTGAACTAGACCGTTCTAAACTGACATCTAACTTACAATAATAAAATATAAAAAAGCTATGTTTATAAAATCAAACTATTTTACATTTATTTATATTAAGTTTTATTAATGTAGCATCAGTCTTGATCAGAGATAAAGAATGTTGCAGGAATGCGAAGACACTTGAAAATTTTGACATCGTCAATAAACAGAAAAACTGGATATTTTTAAAACAAGCACAGTATCATTAATAAATTGAAAAGAAAACGACCAAGTAGTGAACCCTGAAGAAACAGAAAATTTCTTGGATATTACATTATTCAATTTTACATTCAATCTATCAGCCAAGTAGGGTTTGAAAACCATTTTAATAGCGGACCTTAATGAAGTTGTTAGATATAATAATAGAGATATCATTATACCTAGTTATCTATATCAGTTGGTTGTGGAGCAACAGGTTGTCAAGAGGCTCCACCAGATACATCTTTAAATTTTTTTAGTCAAATTATTCCTCCTGTATTGTAATTTTGAACTTACATACAATGAACTTTAGGCATTATTATTGGTTTAAGTGATTCTGCCCAGCTCCTAAGCCGAAGAACGATAGACGTGAGAAATACCCAATATGCAAACATCGAACATCTTAAAATTTAAGCTGAAAAAAATTAACCAATTGGAAAAATGCAATTTTGTACAAAATAAAAGTAGTGTCAAAAGATATTTCATAATTTTCATTTCTGCCCGGGTTTCATTGCATTTAAAGTTAGCAAAAAAAAACAAAAAAAAACAAGAAGATTGAAAACGACTCAATGTTTGAGGCAAGGTAGGCCGTTCAATTTTTCAGTGAATAGTAATAAATTAGCGACAGTAATATATTAAAAGATGAATTATATAATATTAACATTTTAAGACTACTAGGAAAAAGTGAAATTTATTGGAAAAAATACACTTATAAAAAGTTTATTGCAATGCTTTTATGATCGACTTGTATTGTTTACCAAAAGCAGGTATCAGGTTTTTAAATTTTTTTTTTACTCTATATGATAACACTTTCAGATCTTCTATTACCCAAAACATTGAATTATTGTGTTCAGTTGTTCCTTCCTCCTTTCTCCACAGAGTCATATCCTATCTCTTTGATTATCTCTTGTCCTTACAACTTGGCACTGATGATGTTTAATTTTGTCCCTTTTCAGTTTTAATCCAGCGTAGAGTTTTATGTAAACATCTTTGTATAACCTTATCAGACTTAAATCTCAGTATATATGTTACATTTATAATTAATAATTTGAGGGAGTTTAAGTCTTAGAATACAGTTTATTTTTCTTTTCATTTCAAAATGAAACTCTTGTTCATTGATAGATAAAATATAAATATATTTGTATCTGTAATTGTATTGAATTATCAAAAATATTAATTGTCAATTTGATCAACTTTTATAATAGTGATTTCTGAAGACAATAGAAAGTTGAGTTACTCAAAAATACTATAATATAGTAGAATATAATTAACCAAAACCAAGATATGGATGAACATGCCAATAAAAATGTAAAGGTTGATTTAAAAACTTTTTTGTTTTTTGTGTTGAGCAGATTTCTGTGAATAAGAAGAAATAGCCAAGGTTTTAGTTCAATATTGAATTGCAATAATAGAAAGAAATCAGTATAAGAAGTGATTGTAAATTATGTCAGGTAGACCAAGTAAAGAAGCTAAAAATTATTATCGTTTATACAGATTTTAGCATAATAACTGAAAATTTAATTGTTCATTAATTTATTTAAATGAAAATAAAATGAGAAAATTAATATCAATCGATTTCCACGTACAGACAAACTAACTTTGACTTTTCCCACTCCTTCATATTCTTAAACTACATTTGGTCTGTAAGTCATAAACAATTTGTGGGATTTGTAATATAGTTTGAAGTTTTGATAATTCATGTTGATTATGTTCTATATACATGTAATATAATATACAAATTAAATCTTAAAAAGTATTAAACAAGAACATAAGTTGTTGGCAGCAAAACTGATCATTTTCCTGCTTTTAACAATGGTTCTAAAAAATTGACTGGAAAAAACAACAGTTTATGTGTATTTTTCCCAGTTGTATTGAGGTACTGCAGAAAACAAAACTGAAAAAAAATCCATGTACACATACTTTATTTCTTTATTTTGTTTACTATTAAACTTTACTTGAAGTGCAACTGGGTCAATTTCAAATTGTTGAGAAGTCATTTTAGCAATTCTTAAAAAAAAAAAAAAAAATTCACTGTCTCCACTATTGATTCCTGATGTGACATAATATCTAACAATGATTTCTGCCCAAGGACAGTACGTAACGTTGAAGCATCTAACCGATGTGTGTCCTCACTGTTCAAAATTATTTTTAAAATTTTTTAATAATCATATTACAACTTGAACCTATCGTACTTGTACTTAAAACACGAAGCTTAACAGAAAGAAGTTGTTCAATATATAATGCTATTATAAAACTACAGCACCAACTGATACACTGCACGAATTTTTAGTTATGATAACTGTATTGAATTGATTTGATTATAGATCATAAATTAAATAATAAACTTAAAAATAATAAACCTCCTGTTCAGGTATATTCATTGACTCAGTATGTAAATGGACAATTCCCACACTGTCTGTGCAGGTCATGACAAAAAATAATCCAGGACCTATTGCACCTCCTTCTCTCATCTTTCCTAATCTGAATATTATCGCTCTCTCATACTCTGCTGCTACCTTTAAATAGGTGAAAATTATTCTTGTATCAAAGGAGAATAAAAATATACGGATTTACCTGAATATACATAGAATCGCCAAAGGAAATGGCAAAAATATAAAAAAATGACGATGACGTAAGACGGCAATAGTCAGTGTTAACTCAAGAGTTGGATTGGACTCTTCATTTGGTCTTAATTCAAATAGGACGAATTCAAAACAACAATAAAATACCTTGGCTTAGATTTTTTTTTAAATGCACTATTTTTATTGGTAAAACCATACATGGCATCTTGAAATGAAGAGTTATGTAAGAAAATTATTTATCTAGTCAAAATGGCAGGTTTTATGTTTATTAAGAAGTGCATCAAAATATGTCCAAATACCAAAACTCAGTACTAATTTTCTGTAATACACTTTCTCAGCAAATATAATTGTATGTAATTATTCTCTAAAAAAACATTGTTTGCTCATAAGCAGGTCAAATTTTTCATAAGCATGGAGAGTGATGATTAATGTTATGTACTTAGGAAAAATTCCTTGTATCTCATTATTTTAAAGGTTATTTAAATATACTGTAATAGTATAATAAGAGAAGTAGTTTCTTAGATGATTTTATTTGAAATAATGGTGGGTTTTGGTGTTGAAGTTATACTGGTCCAAAAATTTGAAAAAGAAAATTGATGAAATCTCCCAACATTGAATTTCTCTATACTTTATGTTGAGTTTAAGTCTGTGTTATTAATTTTGCCAAAAGTGAATCAGTTTTTTACTGCAGACATCTTATTTTATAGACTTATTGAGTCATAATTTGTTTGATTATGAAGTTATTTTATTTATAGTTTAAATATAATGTAACATTAAACTTTTTCTAGTGTGTTTTTTAATATAAAGTTAATAACAATAATGAAAATAAAAATTTACAACTTCAGTTTATTTGGCACAATTACCAGCTGGGATATTTTGCAACAATTTGTGTTTTTTTTTAAATTCACTCATAAATATTGCATTGTCTGATGTTTCTAAATCAGTTTACATTTTTTAAGAGTAATAAGTGTCAACTTAGTTCTACTGCAGATACAATCAGTTAATTATTGTGTGGTCAAGGGGGAAAAAAACGCAATTGTACTGATTGAACCAAAAACATGTATCACTCCGTAGACTCGCATGTTCCAAAGATACATGATGGTAATTTCAGTGTGTTTTGAATCTATTCCTTTTAAATAAACCCAATAGTAAAATTTCAGAGGAAAATGAAAAATCCAATCCAACACTTGAGTTAGTACTGGTTATTCTGTCTTACTTCATTGTTGTTGTTACATTTCCTTTGACAGTGCTATGTACATTTCAGGTAGATTAGTTATTTGCATCTGTATAAGAAACATTAACATTGTTTTTAAAGATTGTTGCAGAATATGAAAGAGCCATAATATTCAGATTGGGAAAAATAAGAGGAGGTCCACAAGGCCCAGGCTTATTTTTTATCGTCCCATTTATTGACACTGTTGAAATAGTCGATCTGCGTACTGTATCTATGATTATTCCTCAACAAGAGGTTCGAACTTATATTTAACTGATGATTACTGTAAGAATCACTTTGTCATATTTTAGGTCTTAACTAGAGATTCTTGCACTGTACTCGTCGGAGCTGTTGTTTATTACCACATTGAAGATCCTTTGTCTGCCATACTTCAAATTTTCAACTACAGGTTACATAACTAATTTTGTAAAATTATAGCTGTTTTTGATTTCATCTTAAACAGGAAGGCCACAAATCATTTAGCTGCTTCAACTTTACGAAGTGTGCTTGGACAGAAAGCGTTGTCAGATATAATGTCAAATCGTGAATCGATAGCACAGCTAATGCTAGAATTCCTGGACAAAGCTACTGACTCCTGGGGAATCAAAATTGAACGAGTTGAAATGTAATAACAAAAAAAAAATTCAATACACATATCAACTTGTGGTTATTTCAGAAAAGAGATTCGACTGCCACCTCAAATGCAGAAAGCGATGGCTGCAGAAGCGGAGGCTGAAAGAGAAGCAAAAGCCAAACTGATTGTTGCCGAAAGTGAAATAGTTGCAGCACAATCGCTTCATGAAGCTTCTCAACAATTTGAAAATGACCCGATTGCACTACAAGTATTTAACAGTAAACAAAATAGCGTATGTCTGGGTACATGGATTTTTTTTAAATTTCAGCTTCGTTATCTGCAGACCCTCAATACACCTGGGGAAAATCAACAAACTGTAGTTTTTCCAGTCAATCTTTTTTGCCCATTATTATCAAGAAGAAATTAGTAATTTCTCTATCAGTATCTATTGTAAATTTCATATTTTAATTTTTTTAATTTTTTTTTTACTTTTTAAAATTAAATCATAAAGGTTTTCTACATCATCGGGAAAAGGTTTTTAATTGAATAAAAATAAATTAAAATAAGAGAGAGTGAGGGAGAGAGAGTTAGAATGAGAGAGAGTTAGAGTGAGAGAGAGCGAGAGAGAGAGAGAGAGAGAGAGAGAGAGAGAGGGAGAGGGAGAGAGAGAGAAGTGGGAGAGAGATAGAGAAAAGAGTGAGAGATAGGAGAGATGAGAGAGAAAGAGAGAGAGTGAATGAGTAAGTTGTGTGTGTATGTACATGTATGACTGCTATTTTGTAAAAATATATTTATTATTTGTAATATGTTTATACACACATGGGGGGAGGCTCACATGGTTCACATATTTTAATGAATCTTTTTTTTTTGTGATACTAGGCTGAACAATATTAGAACAGGTCACTAAGTATAAGTATGGTCTGGTTGAAAAAAAATTCAATTCTTATCTTCCAAGTTTTCGACCTATTTTATGATGATCATCAGGGCGAAACAATCTTAAAGATGTCTACAAATTGACACAATGAAATTTAGATAGTTTCAGATTTCTTGGCAGTATTGGGACTGAGTTGGCCTTCAAAGAAATTTAAATTTGAGGGTAAAAAACTGGTCGAAACATCTAACACTTTAAACCCTTTAAAGATTGAATATGTTGAAATGTATAATTCATAACAGAGCAGCCTCGTAAAGTATGTTATGTTTTAAGGAAGAAAGAAAATTGATATTTGTTTCTAGCACCCAAAAACAGCGAGATTACAAATTCTGTGGAAAAAATAATTTTTTTCTCAAATTTTTTGCCTTTCATTATGTAAAATACAAAGTACTTTTTTTTTTTTTAATTTAATCCTTATTTTTCTCACATAGAAAGACTTAACATTTAAACTAGATTTAGTGACCGTTAAATAATCAGTTGTTATAACATTGAATTTGGATAAAAATCCAGAGAAGTGATGAATTTGTAGTGCCCGCTGATCCTAGGGGTGCTCAATGCTCAAACTTGATTAATTTTAATGTTTTCTGCTGCTTGTTTTAATGTTTTATGCTGTTTAATATTTTCTGACCTAGCTTCTCCAAAAAATGTTTTGTGAAAATCAGTGATCCCACATCTGATCTCGCATTGTCAGTTAACAATTTCTGAATGTCTATGATTTTTCCCCTTACAAGTATGATGTTAAAAGGTTTAATAAAAAGATTTAATGTAAAATTTGTATATATCTTAAAAAAGTATAAATAAATAGATTAGTTATTCAGGAGTCTTTGTACATTTGTATTAAACTTACATACTACAAATTTTATACCTTTTTGTTTTGGACTAGCATTCAAAAACCAATTTAACTGGTTTCTTAATTAAAAACAATAATTGTTTACATTCAGTCAAGTAACCAAATAAGAGAAACTATTTTTTTTTCAAAATTAATTCATGACGAAATATATCTCGAAAACATACTACCTGTCCCTTGCACTAATTTATCCATTAATTCAAAAGAAAACAATACACAGTTAAAAAAAAATACAATTAGAAAAGTTAAAAAAAAGTAAAAGGAATTAAAATAAAATATTATCACAGAAAAGTATAAAAATGATTGATTTAACTTGAACCTTCAATAGTTTTATCACTTTCACTTTGATTCATGATAATTCGATCACGGCTGATCGGAGTCGCACTCTCGACTAATCTTTCAGAGCTGGTGCTCTCTAAAATATTCATGTCCCTAACTGCACGTCGGAAGCTGCTTCTGAGGATTTGCGCCACCTCGTTGACAGTCAGGGTCGACGTCGTCGGTGCGATATCACTTGGCTGGTTGCTAGAAGAAGGAGTACGCGACTGGTTTATTTCAACAAGCACTGCGGCGTAGTCTGGGGGCGGTGGAGCAAGCGTGTCACTCTGCACGGTCGGATTCTCTATCCCTGATTCAACTGTATTAAGAGAGTGTGTTATCCGCCTTAAACTCCTACGAAAACTCTGACGCAGAAACTTGGCAATTCTAGAAAAAAATTCAACATTTTAGACTGTAAAACTGAAGATTTTAAAGTGGATGTGTTTTTGGGCTAGATCCTCCAGAGATCCATGGGTTAGGTTAGTTAGAGTTAGGGTTTAAAATGGATTATGAATAGGTTAAGTGATATATCCATGTTTTTATTTTTTTCTTCATGAAATGGAAAAATATGAGTACGAACAGCATTTCTTTATTACCTAGCACCAGTAGCAGTTGAATAAGATGGGGGTGGTGTGTATTTTGGAGGTGGGTCTTCAATCGTAGCTATGACAGGATTGGATGTTGCAGGAAGTTCTTCGTCAGCAGTAGGAGTTAAATCTTCGGGTATGTTGACTATAGACTCTTCAGATGGACGATAAAGCATTTGCAATCTCTGAAGAAGAAATATTAAATGTAAATTCAATTGTATAACAGAACTCAAGTTATCTAATAAAATTTAAGATATAAATTTTTATGCTCTCAAAGGAAATAAAGTTTTTAAACTATTGTTTTTCTAGGCCCCATGGTCATAGGTTCGATTCATTCATGTTCCTTGGCTAATATGCAAAATTCATAAGACAAAAAGAAAATATTTAAATTGAACAATGTCTACTTACATCAAATATGTCAGATGGGCCTTTTGATAGATATCTACAACTTTGTACAATGCCGATAAATGGAATCGTCAACAGCGGTAAAATTTGTATCAATGAGCCTAGTTCTCTGCTCCATACGGGCCAATAGTCATAGGTCAGCGGAGCGTTCCACTTGTACAAATCTTTATAACTGCCATTTTTAAAGACGAGAATACAAAGAACCTACGATAATTTTTTAAATACAATTTTAGAGAAAAATTCCTGTGCATAATCATAAAAGACTTTACCATTAAAACAACCGGAAGGATAACGTTCCATATGAAACAAAGAATCGGCGCAGCCCAGTTCTGAAGCCAAGGACTAGCTTTTGTGAACAAAGTTGCCACAATGGTCTCACCACTGTATGGCCTTCCTCGTACCATGAAAACAGCAACTAGTTCTATCAGGTACAGAAGCATTATCCACCAAGCTCCTCCGACACAATAATCAAGAAAATATACAACAAAGATCCCCAGCTAAAAATATAAATAAACAAGTATGTAGTCCGACAGTTATGGAGTAATTAAGTCGTTTTGACTAACTGAAATCCTTGTAATTAATTAAATTACCTCAGTAGCCATAGGAAGGCCGAGAATAAATCCGCAGACACAGGTAAATAAAGTAATTGTTGTCTCCCAGTTCTTCATAGTTTTCACTTTTATTGCCATTATTCCAGTTATGACGCAATGCATTATAGCAAGCTGAAAAAAAAAAAAAAAAAATTAAGTTTATTTAAGAACTAAAAGCACTAACACTAGAACATACCTGCTGGGCAATGCCAAATAAGATGAGGATGAAATAAAATAAGACAGACCAAAAAGGTGACAGCCTGTCTGAACCTATGATAGCAAGAGTAGCTGGTACGAGTTCTGTCGCCAAACGGAGAGCTTGATAGCCGCTCTCTTGCTTCAAGTTAGCCCCAGGCATCACGACCTTTTCGCCCGTAAGGTACTGATTGTGTGTCATAAATCTGACCGGGGTCGTCAAAGAAGGAGGCAGTTCTGAATAAGAAAGTTTCGTAGGGTGGAGGAAACCATAAGTTGACATTTTTTCTAAAAAGGAAATATTTTATAAAATAAGACAAGAATAATTGAAAATATGCGTGATATACCAAATGAACTGGGAACGTATAAATATCCGTAGGCTAAAAGAAGTTGTGAACACATATTCGCTAAAAATGCGGCTAGTACGAGTATTGAAAACGTGATAATGGTGACCAAAGTCGTATCTCTGTGTAGCAAATGATTCGGACGGTTATGAGAGGCCATTTGCATTGCGGAAGAACCTAAAAGGCCCCATGTATAAAATGCTTCTGACATTGCAGCCGACCAGCTCTGAAAACAATAAAAGTATGTTAGAATACTTGTTGTAATTGATGATTGATCGACTTACTTTTGTATTGAGGAAAAATTCGCTCCAGTCAGTCTGTGGAAAACTGAGGTGGAAACGATGAGTTATGGGCGTGAGGCTGACAAGTTTCGTACAAAGCACAAGCATGCCAAAGGTTGGGACTAGAGAAAATAGGAATACAACTTTACCGTATGATTTCAACCCTAGAACGCAAAAATATAATTAAACCCAGTTGTATATTAAGGTATGTATTTTTAAAATTAAAAAAAAAAATATATATATACCTTTACTGAGGGAAATGAAAACAATCATCCATACAACAGCTAAGTTAAAAGTAACTTGAAATTTTAAATGCCCTGGCGCGTTGGCCGGTGAAATGAGTGTATGCCTCTGCAGAACAACTCCGCTGAAGTAATCAGGTACTGTCTCCTCTAGAGATGAATTGTATCTCCATCCAGGTCCTACATCAAATGATAAATTTCATTATAAATGTATATTCTAAGAGTAAACGTACATTACCTAAGAGCCCAATATACGGTTCAGCCCATCTATACGTGTCTTGCTTTGTAATAAATGAATCTCGGAAGTAAACAAACATCCAAGATACACCGACTATACTATAAATACCTAGCAGTGCTTGAGTTAAAATTAAAGCTATTCCAATCCCCTGAAAACAAGAAAATATTATAAGAATGCATATTTCGGTAAATGTTACTATTGAAGAGACTTTATAAAATTTGTACTATTTACCTGAAAAATTGGAGAAATTTTCCACATATCCATACTCCCGGCTCCCAAGAGCTGGCCTAATGATACGTGAAATGTGAACAATGGGATTCCAAGTATGAAAGACATAAGGAAAAACTGAAGAATAAAATTGGCTAGAAAAGAATTCACTCATTTTAATTTTATATGTATATTTTTTACACAGGTGAAAACACTAACCTCCAAATTGAACACTTAAAATGGCGAATCTTGATATATTGAATATTCCAAGGGTACATGCCAGGCATGCAAGCATCGAGCTCAGGCCATGTGGCCATTGTCCTAGTGGACTTAGAGATTCATTTGCCATTTCACACTCCGTGCTAAAAAAAAGTTAATATTTAACTATAATAAAAGCCTATGAACTATTTAAAACTATTGATTATTTTGTTGGGATAATTTATCTTTTGATTGTGAATTTATTAGAAAATGTGATTACAGAAGCATGGCCAACAGAAAATTGCCTTTTCTGAACTTCTATTTGATAGTTTGCAAAATAAATGTTTTATTTCTGCCATACTTTACAGAAAGTTAAAGGTAATTTTGATCTTTTATAGTAAGAGGCTAATGACGCTTATAATGGATATAAACCTGGGCCAAATAGGTACACACATGTGCACACTTTATCTTTCTGATCTCTTAGAATTTCATGATCTCATAACTCTAGATTTATGATTTCATTCTGGCTCTATTATTGTATCTATCCTTCTCTTCTCTTTATTTCAGTTAATTAAGTTTCTATTTATAAAATATGAAAAATCTTGTACTTCGTATTTGCATATTTTTACCAAATAAATAAATAAAATAATAATAATAATGGATATGTAACTAAACTTGTCTGTAGTCCTAACCCTTCCTAAACAAAACCTAATCTAACCCTAATCTTATCTTAAATTGCCTAACTAACCCTAAACCTAACTCAACCTATGTGCCACTAAGTAACGTGAAATTGACGAAGCAAAAATGGTCACCCCCAAAAAATGTATATCCAGCTCAAAAGCATATCTATGTTAACTTTCTGTATTTTTCCCCCTCTTTACTCTGTTCATCTGTCTGTTGGACAGTCAGCTTGTTTGTCTGTCTTCTGTCTCTCCATCTCACACTTTTTGACTCTATTACTGAATCTATACAAATCTATACTACTGAATTATATACATGCTTTATTCTTATTTTTCTCTTTATTTCAGTTAGTTTTAGGTTCACCTAACCTAGCCTAGCGTAACATAATCTAACCCTAATCCAAACCCAACCTAGCTGGTTATTTTGTCAACCCAAAAATTGTGTATCTAGCCCAAAATCATCCCTGTTAAATTAATTTAAAATGATTAGTTTTCCATATTTTTCTACCTCTTTTCTCTGTTTGCCTGCCTGTTAGTCAGTCAGGTTATTTGTCTGTCTTTCTCTCATTCTTTCTTTCTACTATTCATTTTCTCAATTTAAATTTTCTCTTTATGAATAGTATAAAAAAATTACATGAAGCACCAATTTCTTAGAAGGACAATTCGCCGAGTAGAGATTATAAATGATGGGGTGAGTGTGGAGTTCAATCCTTTTTAAAAAAGATGGTTCCTACTCACATTAAGTTGTTTCGCAACAATCCGGATTTCGAGCCCTTTAGCTCATCGTCAGGTTGAAGGGTTTCCACAAACACGTCTCTCAACATGAATTGCAGAAGTGCAATTTCTTCTGCAATTCATGTTGAGAGACGTGTTTGTGGAAACCCTTCAACCTGACGATGAGCTAAAGGGCTCGAAATCCGGATTGTTGCGAAACAACTTAATGTGAGTAGGAACCATCTTTTTTAAAAAGGATTCGCCAGTATACTTCTATTGTTTTTGACGCGAATTAAAATTGACACCAATTTGAAATGTATTTTTGGAAAAGGAAGTAGTAGGGCCATTATTTTTAATACCGGCTACCGTAACCACATCTCCATTCGAGGGTAAAACCGCGCCTCCATTCTTGCTCAACTTTTCTATCTTTTATCCATTTTATTGTTCTCACCATCTTCTTTGTTCTCTTCGAGCCACTTTCTCCAGTCCAATTCTACCATTTAACCGCGATGTTTTTGTCACCCTTTACCGTCTTTTATTGTTCGAGGTCTCGTCTTGAACGATAATATTCAATTGAACGAAAGACTCCAAAACCAATTGATGTAGGGCTAGGGTTGGTGGCGTGCAGCAACTTAGGATCTTTTGTATGTTTAAGAGCTATACAATAGTACAGAAATGTATTTCAATCATGTTTTACAGTTACGAGAAAGAGATTTCGAATTTATATTGACTCTAGACAAAAATGCGTTGATTGGGTCAACAGAATTTTTTTCCAAGCTCATCGGCAACACAAGTTTCACCGGAATCGATCCGCAAGTAATTCAAACCTCGCAGAATAGGTCAGAGACTATCGGACGGTCTCATTTGATATATACATCGACCCCATTCGTTAAACCAAGGATGGCGTGAGTGATTTGTATCGAAATGTATCCAGGCAACCGGACACGGGCAAAAACTGAAGCCCCCCATCGAGCACAAGTTGGAACCCTTCCGGGACCCAAATCTTCGGGAAAAAATATAGCGGGTAACACGAAATCAATAAATAAATATTAAACCGAGATGAAAATTTGAAACCTTCACTCAATTGGGCATTCTGATCAAAAAATATTCACGTGGCAAATCGATACGTTTTTATTATTAATGAATCGTTTATGCTTTTACATACGGTAATCAGGCTTGACGCAATATTACAGTTCTAACGCCAATCAAATTATTTATTATTACACAAAAATAATAATAATTTTCAATTAATTAAGGTTTTGGTTGAGATAAAAAAGTCAGTGTCACAAGCGGGATTCGAACAGGGGAATAGGCCGCTACTCTACCACCTGAGCTATCGTGATTTCAAAGCCGAAGGTCGTGGGCTCGAATCCCTCTTGTGACAATGACTTTTTTATCTCAACCAAAACCTTAATTAATTGAAAATAATTTATTTGGTCAAGCGGACCACGAAAATAGAGAATTTAATAATAATAATATAAAATAAAATTATAAGCAAGAGTAGGTTTTTATTCTTAGAAAATTGGCATCTTGTGTTGTCATTATGTGTGAATACCATCATTATTGACACACGGGAGATGCCTGGGATCACAGATTAGAGCAATTTTTATTTATTTATTTATTTTTTTATTGTGGGTTCTTTTTGTGTTTGGAGTGCGAAAAATCAATATCAAATTTGTTTCTTGCTAAAAAAAATATTTTATCCTACTTTGATACATTGCATGGTCACAAATTATTTATTCCAACGCCATACCATAATTTGTGACCGTCAAAACAGTAAAAAAGAACCAATCCACCAGGGACTTTTCAGGGGTTTAGTGCCTTCATAAAAATTATGTAATGTAAAAATGGGTTGGGTTTGTGTTAGGGTTGGCTAGGTTACGTAAGGTTTTGTTTTACACTGAAAAATGAAATTAATAGAAAAATAAAAATAAAGGGTATATAGAGAAGAGTAGTAAAAAGATATAGCAATAGTAAGAGAAAGGTTCAGGAAGAGGGTCAGAAAAAGAGAGAGGTGAGAAAGACACAGTGACAAACATAAAATGAGTTAATCTTTTTATGTAAGGTTTCGGTTGAAATTAAAAAGCTAGTGCCACGAGCGGGATTCGAACCCACGACCTTCGGCTAAATACTCCGCTGCTCTAGCACTTGAGCTATCATGACTTCGATCCATTCGGACACCAATTTCCCATCCCAAAACCTTACATAAAAATATTAATTAATTGAAAAAAGTTATTTGGTTTATTAGACCACTAAATATAACGGATTTAATAAACACGAGTTATGGGTGATTAGGATAAAAATGGATTAGGATAAGAAAATAAGGAGAAATAATCATTTTAGAAATTCTGACCCATTGTCCAATTATTGCTTATAAAATTCTAGAGAATATCTCACAGTTAACCCGTTTACATTTTAATATATATTTCCAGGCCGTACAACCTCGACTGGTCAAATATGATTTGAATTTATGAGCTAAAAGAATGGTGAATCGAGAAATGGAATTATACCGAGAGGAGAACTTTATTCCATCTTTCAAGGATATCAATTTTATTGACCTTTAAAAAAAAACTATCCGTGAAGAAGTTTATATTCAATAAACGTGCAAGTGTTAAATGTTAACAGGATTTAGCTTTCAGTCCATAAAGTATACAAAGACTGAAATAACTGTGATTCATAGGCAAATCGAAGAGTTTTGACTTGTTTGTCCCTTTGTTTTCCTCGTTTTAGTATTTTCCAAAACGACCAAAGCGCATTCTGAGGAAGAAGGATCGTCCTGAAGAAACGGACCTGGATTATCAGACCGAACTGGTCCATCTTTAAAAAGTCATCCATCCGGTCGAAATGATTCCCGCACTTTTTCACTCTTTTCTACTCGATTCGATTTGACAGTTAGGAATTTTTTCTTGAGTCGTTTTTACCAAAGAGGAATCAGCCCGACTCGATGGTCTAAAAAGAAAACGTTATCCTTGTAAAAAGTCCTGATCGTAAACTATGACGATCATTATAAAATCATTACTTAAAACCAAGCAATGCCAATGTGATAATCATAAATTTAAATTTTTCTAGCCAAATCTTAAGATCTGAAAGTTCCCAAGTTATCAAAAGACGCGATAGTCTTGTTTCAAACTTGTCGATGTTAATAAAACCAAAAGATAATCTCAAAGTAAGAAAAAACAAATTGATATTTCTTATGGTCAAAGAAATATGTTTTTCTTTGAATGATCATTATTGAGTTCTGAACATCCTGGTCCAACTGGCCACACTGGTTGTTTTTGCGTTTCTCAGTGGTGGACCGTCAACCTGTTAAAATATATGCATACCATTGCAATATTATCATATTTATTTCAAGCAAAAAAACATTTAAGTAGGAAGAAAATCATAAACAAACCTACTTATTTCAGTCATTACGATGGAAGGTTTTGGTTTGGAACGAACGTCACAATTGACTAAAGAGGAAAACGACAAAGGTCATATTGAAACAATATAAATTATTTTTTCCCCTTCAACCAACACCATTTGCACCATTTCTCTTTAAGTCAGGGAAAATCTGGGTAAAAGGGTCAATGCCTGGGTCGCTACGTCCTTCGTGAACTATCGGTTTCAAATGTTTCCTACAAGGAGAAAAGTGTCCGTCCTTGTTTTTACAGCTAAAAAAAATCCTAGTTTCATTTTTCGGAGCGACCTAAGGATAAAAGGAAAATTTTTCAGCAGTATAGAAGAAAAAACTAATAAATTTTAAATATTTACACCATGTGAGATGTTCAAGA